AGGTTCAGCCTAGCTCACCTGTCGGGGTGCCGCAAGATCCGGCACGGTGGCGTCTTTGTGGACTTGTCCGTGGAGCTCTCATGCGGCTTGCCGCATGCGGCGTACTTGGCATCGGACGTGCAATCCGATTTGGCCGCATGCCAAAGGCTGTCGCCGCCTTATACAGGCAAGACATGGTGCAGTCTAGGTGTGAATGTCCACAGCCTGATAGGGGCGCTGGTCTGTTCGTGCACTACGGGGTCGGTTGGCTTCTGCCAAGAAGATATCTGCTTCAATGCTGCCGCTGGGTATTACTTGCTACTTCTACATCGCAGCGAAGCCGGCAGACAGTGGAGACAGCACCTAAGCTTGCATCTCTGCCTTCCCCACATCCACACACACAGTAACACACACACACACACCACACACCAGGTATCAAGAGCGAGGGCGCAACTCGCTGTCCGACGTCACGGTTCGCAACGGCATGGCGCTCTGCAGTTTCGCTGTCGTCTGCTGCATGACGTGCAGCGAGCCGCGATTCGTGCAAGAACTCGCCATCGAGAACCATTTCTCGAGGTTGAAAAGCATGTATCGTGGACAGCCGAGCTTGAAAGATTTCCTTCATAGCTGTCGCTCTCTCTCAGCACGGCAGGCTCGGCAGCTAGACAGCCTGTCAGTCGAGAGGCTGCAGGACCGGGCGGCCAGTTTCCCAAGATCCCCGATGCCGGAGGATGAGGTGACGAAGCATTGTCGCAAGGCCTTCGCCGCAGCATTGCAGACACAGTCATTCATCTCGGACGGCCGGAACACCACTGACATCTACGACACGTTGCTGAAGTTCTGTGGGCCAGACGGGGAGAGCTTCTTCGGTACTGCCATGGGCGAGTCCGCTTTCGACATGATGGACATCACCCCTGAGACATCCGAGTGGCTCCCTCGCGAGGAGACGGAGCACAAGTCCCAGCAGCAGGTGGTGTCCATGCAGCTGTTGCAGACGGTGGAGGACAGAGCCAAAGTCTTGGAGGAGATCCAGCTTCTTGAAGCATCCGACACATCAGATGCTTGCCAGCCTGCTCGGCAGCCTGCAGAGCAGGCCGAGGATGCACCACAGGACCCGGAGCTCCTGGTGGAGCTCGCACCTGAGAGCGGATGCCCAGTCATCCCCACAAATCTCGGGAAGCTGCTGAAGGCTGTATTGGCTGAGGGAGGCAAGGAGTTCAACCTGGACCAAGCGACTGGTCAAGGACAGGCTGCCCTGCTCAAGCGGCTGTTGCACATGGCGCCCTTCATCCGCAGCTTCACCAAGCATGCCAGACTCCAAGAAGGGGTTCTTTCGGCAGCCGTCCTGAATGAGTGCAAAGGCCCACTGAACGAGTGGAATCGTCGTGAGCACGAGCTCGCTGTTGCGAGGCGGGCTATCAATGCCAGTCAGGTACGCCTCTCCCGTGCCCAGGCTTGGCACATGGCGGTTCAGAAGATGTCCAAGGAGGTCCAGGCCGTCAACAAACAAGTCGAAGCGAACGACCCGGGAATCCATGCCCCCGATGTCTACTTCCCTGCGGGTGACCGGGTGCAAGTGATTGCCTTCCTCCTCGAGGAACATGTGGCAGTGGGGCTAGTGCTCAGTGCCTTTCGGGGGTCCCTGGTGAAAAGGCCCAATGGCAAAGGTGCAGCGGATGTCATCGTCAAAACAGCTCGCCCCTTTCCGGATGAGCTTCCAAGTGTGTCCACCAAGCTCGTGCATGTGGCCGAGTGCATCTACGATGAGAAGCACAGTGAGTACTGCACGAGCTGCGCATCGAGGTGCCTGCTTGTCGATCCGGTGAATTGCATCTATGGCCAGTTGACCCTTTCCGTTTCGAAGCCATCCCAAACCCGGATGCATTTTCGCTTGAGCCCGGCCTCTATGGAGAGCTTGCGCCTCTTGAAGCAGCGGGGCCGCCTGCCCGTTCAGCCGCTTCCAGAAGTGGCTGAGGGCGAGGATGATGCCGCTGATGAGCCACAGGAGCCCGATGCTGCCCCGTCCCAGGTCTATCACGACAGATCCTTCATGCGAGCGAGCATGCCTGGGCAGGCCAGAAAGTTCATGACGGATCTTGAAAGCTTGTACCGCCGGAAGGGCTGGCCGTTTGTGGAAAGCGGAATGGTCCAGTTGTCACATGACAAAAGCGAGTCTTGGTCAGTGCTGCTGGATCGCATCCCGGGCTTCTTCGAGCAAGAGTTCTCGAAGCATCAAGGCTATCGTTTCAGCAGGGCGGTCCATGGATACCTACAGACGCTCATCCCTGAAAGAGACTTGGCTCATTGGCAGACCATGTCCCCTTGTGCCCATCAACCCAGAACCCTAAATGCTCCAAGGCGCCGCCAGCGTCAGCAAGGTGAAGAAGTTTCTTGGGCTGGTCTCCCGTGTCGCACCGGGTGTGATCGACCTCCGGGCGTGATCCACTGCAATACTACACATGGGCCTAGGTACCTAAGAAGTTTAGGCACGAAGGCAAACGAGGGGTCGATCCTGCCGTCTCACTCCGTCTCACCGCGGGCACGTGCAAGGGGTGGACATTCACACTCATTCACTGACATTCCAGACTTCGGACCCTAACACTTCTTAAAACCCTAGGCCCCTAGCAAACCGTACACTTCTAAACACTTAGCTCTACAGAAAAATGCTCCACCGTGCCGAATTGCCCTAATCTCCACCAGAAGGGGGTGCGTGGACGCTGCACCTGGGGTTCGGATCGTGGCGCCACACCGAGAAAAAAAAAGCGAGGCTGTGCTGTTCTGTCGCAGAGCTACTCAGAGCTGTCAGGGAGCATGCAACATGAATGATGTTAGAGTCCCCCCCCCCCCCCATACAGACCCCCAGGTAATAGGGCCAGCCCGAATA